AAAAAAAATATATATATATATATAACTAATCAATATTGTCAAGTGGCTATGATTTCAAGGCGCTGTGCTGTCCCAGATACTGCAGCAGGAAGATGAGGGCTAACCCTGCCCTCCAGGGAGACCCTGCAGCAGGGGAGTCAGACAAAAACACAACCAATGGCAATTCCTGGCTGAGAAAGCACATGCTGCTGCCTGCAGAGAGTGCCAGGAGAATTGGGGGAAGGAGCCGTCGTATCTGTTGGGGGGATCAGGGAAGGTGTGAAGGAGGGTCCGTGTGGTGACGCACAGCAGAACGAACTCTAGTGTGTGGTGTAAGGGATGACATGAGGCGTCTATGAGTTTAACAAAAGGTCAGTGGGGTGATGATAATGGAAATCTCGAGTTGACCCAGAAATGAGAAGCCATATTCCTCGGTTCTTTCTGATGAAGTAGAGGCAGAAAGAGAGGAAGCTGTAGCTTCTGCTTAGGTTTTAGAGGACTCCTTAGCACTGGCATAGGAGATAGATTCGTAACTCTAGGATGCTAATCCGTGGGCTCCACAAAAGTGAATCTGTGGTGCCACTCACATATAGTGACTTGAAATGGAGAAATCAGTCCACTGTCCCAATACGTGGGACTAACCCTGACAATGTTTGCATGGATTGAACTTCACTTTGTGACGTGGATTTGGGGAGTGGAAGTGGGAGAAGGAAGCTAAGTTTCTTGAATACAAATATGTGCACTTTACAAATATGATTGCATAAATCTTTATGATAATCTTATGAGATAGACATGATACCATTTTGTAGGTAAAGAAACTCTTGTCAGTATCCAATTTCCCGAGGAAGAAGAATCTTCTGGAAACTGAGCTGAGGCAAAGGACATTCGGAAGACCAAAAATGTAGTTACAGCTTCTGAGGATAAAATGAGCTGGAAAGAGCATCACGGAGAGAGAAGACTCGCACTGGGCTCTTGATCGGGCAAGCCCATGGGAAGAGGGTTCTCATGGTGTGTGTCACATCTGGTCGTGGGGGGCCTCACGGAGACCACACTGCCCTCACCTCCTTCATGTCCTCATAGAAGAGGTAGAGAATGCGGTGCTGGTCTTTCACATCCCACCATCCCTTAACATGGTCATACCAGGAGCCCCACAGCACTGATTGGAAGAAAGAGACAAGATGTCAGTGTTGCTGGAAACTTGGAAAACAAGTACATTTAATAAGAACAACCAGAAGACAAAGACCCCGGGCAGAATTCTTATGTGCAGTAGACAGGGACTTTCTTTACTATTTAAAGAATATAAAAAGTATTCTGATTCTTTGGCTCATATTTCTACCATTGAAGTCACTATTCCATGGGAGATTGTCTTGTGGCCAGAGATTCATAACCTTTATTTTCCCTGCATCACTTCATGTTGCTTGTCACTGCTATGCAATAAATACCGTTTCCTAAGAAGCTGATCTTGAAAAGAAGTCTATCATTCTTGTGGCCAGAGATTCATAACCTTTATTTTCCCTGCATCACTTCATGTTGCATTGTCACTGCTATGCAATAAATACCGTTTCCTAAGAAGCTGATCTTGAAAAGAAGTCTATCACTCTGAAAAATCTATGATTACCAGATATTTGGGCACTTTATTCTCTGTGACATAAGTGGGTGAAGGGAGGTGCACTGCGTTCCTTCTGGTGGCCCTACAAACTCCACCTCATCCTCTCCACCTGCACAGGTCCCTGTAGTTGACCTGCAGGGATGGTGTGGATGAGCTCCTTTGCCCTCAGACCTATAGCTGGACTGTGCAGCAAGAAGCATGGAAAGGCTTAGCAGGCAGGAGAGGACGGACAGTGCATTTGCTTCCCTGATGCCCTCCCTGTTGACCCCCATGTGCTTGAATGCTCCCCACAAAGGTCTCGGCTGCTGTCAAGAAACAGCTCCTGTCTTCAAGGGGCAATGGCTCTCCCATGGTCTCCCATAATACTGTACCAGCACTTGCTGGTTTCCTTAAATTGTGCCCATAACTTTGTAAATAGTCTTTTTTAAAAGTCTCTCCAGATGACCCATTTGAGTGTATTTTACTTCCTTCCAGGACTTTGAGGGATACAACTGTTCAATAAAAAACCTCCTGCTCTGATGTCAGCAAATGAACAAATAAGGAAATATGAACCCACAGTTTTCTTTCACCTACCTTTTCCAGCTTTGAATGTCTCAACATATTCTTCCCATGTACCGGGATCAGGCAGCATTTTATTCATTCTTGAGAAATGGTAGTAAGACACAAGACAGTCCTTGGCATTTCTAGCCACGTAAATAATCTGGAAATGGCCAGCAAGTGGAGTGAGGGGCAGAGTAAAACAAAACAGAGAAATATCATTATTCAGAGGACCATGATCTTAGAAAGCCTCTAGTAGAATCTTGACTACCCCATTTGAGTAACTGAACGTGCACATGTTTCTACGATCATGGTGACCCCTCTTTCAGTGTGTGCAGACACAGTTCCAATTCACAGCTGTGGTCTTAGCAGTTATTAAAAGCATCCTTTTCCTCTCTCAGAAGTGTCCTGGTTTGCTTGATAAATGCTACAGTCACCCTAACTATGATATTCCTGGAGGTTGAGGAGGCTACCCATGGTGTCTTAGTCCACTTGGGCTGCTATAACAAAATACCATAGACTGGGTGGCTTTTAAGTAACAGAAACTTATTTATCACATTCTAAAAGCNAAAAGTATTCTGATTCTTTGGCTCATATTTCTACCATTGAAGTCACTATTCCATGGGAGATTGTCTTGTGGCCAGAGATTCATAACCTTTATTTTCCCTGCATCACTTCATGTTGCTTGTCACTGCTATGCAATAAATACCGTTTCCTAAGAAGCTGATCTTGAAAAGAAGTCTATCACTCTGAAAAATCTATGATTACCAGATATTTGGGCACTTTATTCTCTGTGACATAAGTGGGTGAAGGGAGGTGCACTGCGTTCCTTCTGGTGGCCCTACAAACTCCACCTCATCCTCTCCACCTGCACAGGTCCCTGTAGTTGACCTGCAGGGATGGTGTGGATGAGCTCCTTTGCCCTCAGACCTATAGCTGGACTGTGCAGCAAGAAGCATGGAAAGGCTTAGCAGGCAGGAGAGGACGGACAGTGCATTTGCTTCCCTGATGCCCTCCCTGTTGACCCCCATGTGCTTGAATGCTCCCCACAAAGGTCTCGGCTGCTGTCAAGAAACAGCTCCTGTCTTCAAGGGGCAATGGCTCTCCCATGGTCTCCCATAATACTGTACCAGCACTTGCTGGTTTCCTTAAATTGTGCCCATAACTTTGTAAATAGTCTTTTTTAAAAGTCTCTCCAGATGACCCATTTGAGTGTATTTTACTTCCTTCCAGGACTTTGAGGGATACAACTGTTCAATAAAAAACCTCCTGCTCTGATGTCAGCAAATGAACAAATAAGGAAATATGAACCCACAGTTTTCTTTCACCTACCTTTTCCAGCTTTGAATGTCTCAACATATTCTTCCCATGTACCGGGATCAGGCAGCATTTTATTCATTCTTGAGAAATGGTAGTAAGACACAAGACAGTCCTTGGCATTTCTAGCCACGTAAATAATCTGGAAATGGCCAGCAAGTGGAGTGAGGGGCAGAGTAAAACAAAACAGAGAAATATCATTATTCAGAGGACCATGATCTTAGAAAGCCTCTAGTAGAATCTTGACTACCCCATTTGAGTAACTGAACGTGCACATGTTTCTACGATCATGGTGACCCCTCTTTCAGTGTGTGCAGACACAGTTCCAATTCACAGCTGTGGTCTTAGCAGTTATTAAAAGCATCCTTTTCCTCTCTCAGAAGTGTCCTGGTTTGCTTGATAAATGCTACAGTCACCCTAACTATGATATTCCTGGAGGTTGAGGAGGCTACCCATGGTGTCTTAGTCCACTTGGGCTGCTATAACAAAATACCATAGACTGGGTGGCTTTTAAGTAACAGAAACTTATTTATCACATTCTAAAAGCCGTCAAGTCCAAGGTCAAGGCACTGGGAGATTCAATGTCTGGAGAGGGCTGCTTTGTCACAGATGGCTGTGTTTCATCAGGGCGTTAATCCCATCATGAGGGGTTCACTCTTATAACCTAACCAACTCTCAAAGGCCCCAACTCCCAATGCCATCACATTTGGGGGTTAGGATTTCAACATACAATAATTGGGAGGAAACATTCAGAACCTAGTGCATGTGTGGTATTTTTCAGTGTGTGTAAACTCCCCCACCCCCAAGCTTTCGTTAAGCAAGAAGTCTAACTGGGCTGCAGGATGGGAGGGGCTGGAGCAGTTTCCCATCTAGTCTTATTTCCACACTGACAAAATCAGAGTTTTCATTCCAAAAGGAAGGGGACTGGATTTTTGACACCAGGGTGAACATGATAGTGGCTGTGAACATGGCTCTTCAGATCTCTGGCTGTGGAGAGTGTAGTGATGGATGGCCTCAGCTGCTGCTCTCTGGACCCACCACCATGCTCCTTTAGAGGACACATTTCCCAAGGGATGCTCTTGGCTAGTGAGTGAGCACTGCAGGGGTGCTAAGGCAGGCCTGCCTATGGCATATGGGACTCTCTGATGGCTGACTGTGGCTGGAGGACCCCCATCAGCTTTGCCGAACCCTGCTCAGAGCTGCACTGAAGTCTGAGCCTCCAGCCCTCCTCCTTGACTCACCCTCACAGGGTCAGACCTGTGGCACTGAGAGGTCCCTCTCACACGTAACTCTGCCTTGTCACCTGATTCCCCAAACCAAGAAACCAGGTTTCCTCAGAAAGTACCTGCTATATTTCAGTGATTATCCTCTTTGAATATGGCTTAGTAGGCAGACAATCAAAATGGTTTTGTCTGAAAACTTCCCAACATTTATCCAGAAATAATATTTTTAAAGAAAGGCAGATGCAGAATGGGGTGTGTGGGAATGTGGCATAATGCCCCCATCAGCCCTCTAGCTCCACTGGTTACTTCTCTTTCAATGTCTTTGCTTGTTTCTACTTAGAAACATTCTTTGGCAATACTGATCAAAACTGGGTTTGAAGGGTGGGCTCTTCTTACCTTTGAATTTTCTTTCCAGAAGGATGGTGGTAGCATCTGAACAGGCAAATGGGTCTTCAGAGTTCTAGGAGAAGGCATTTTGTTAGCCAGATCCAGACCTGGGAAATAAGGCCACACCATTCAGCCAAGCATTTCTCATAAGCTACATGGATTCACGACTGTTGTTGTTGAACATCTGGAATCAGGTTGACCAAATAATTGGCTTTTTATCTAAAATAACCATTTTACATGTCTATGTCCCTCCTGATGACAACTTCACTGTTCATTCTGGTGGAGGAAAGCAATAATGAGATATTGCAAACTGTGGAGGCAATGTTACTCCCCTTATTTGCTGATTATTGGTGTGTTCTTTTGTGGGCAGGTGAAGATGCTTCAGGAGGTTTGAGGTTCATGAGAACTATGACCAAAACAAGCCTTTAAAGATTTTGTCATTTGGGTTTTTCTATCACTGCAATAAGGAGTAGAAGAAAGGCAGGTGGAGAAGAGCTGACACCTCTCTTTGGGGACAGAGGTTCCTGGACCAGCTCTGTATCCCAGCAGTTCTATCTAAAGAGCTTCAGTCTTTCTTTGACCCTTTACTCTCAAGGCCAAGAATCACAACAGCCACCAGTTATGTACCAGAACAATAAAGTGAGACTTACAGTGGTCAAGTCATTTTTCCAAGTTAATAAATGTGAGAACTAGGATTAGAAATCAGTCAGACTTTGGATATAGAAAACCATGAAAGGGAAGCTTAAAGGACATTGTGAAAAATGGTAGAGAAGCAAAGAAGACTGAGATAAAGGATACTCAAAATATTCCTGGAAATAGAAGTTCCAATGCCAAGTGCTAAAATACTGAACAGAGGCTGAGATTTGGCCAAGGACTGCATCAGCCTTAGGGAAGTGACTTGCAGGTAAAGCAGGGGTGGCAGCCTTGGAGAAGCATAGCTCCTGACAGAGAATCAGATATACAGAGAAGGGGAGGTACTCCCTGAGACACGGAAGTGAAGGAAAAGAAGGAAATAAGAGAAAGAAAATTAAAGTAAAAATCCTACAAAAGTAAAATAAAAAATGCATGCCAATTCTTCCTTCTCCCCTAACCACCAATACTAGTCATAAATCAAACTGCACAGAAGAGAGCAGAACTGACAGAAGAAGGTACATTCAGATTGGGAACTATGCCCATGAAATGTATACAAAGAAAAAATAAAAAGCAGACTTCACTGACACAAAACTACTATAAAAATCAGAAAAGTCAAATCAAAGCTTTCAACCATCTGAAGTCAAATACAAAAATGAAAAAAATTATAACACAACATTTCAAAGTGAGTTAAATATCCTGAAGTGATAATTTGGAAATATGAAAAAAAAAATCTTATATCAGAAATAAAAAAAACTACAAACAGAAATTGGCAAGAAGAAGGAAGAAGTAAAGAAAAGATTTTGCTGAATTCCAGAAAGAAATAGAAGAAAAAGACAAAACATAATAAATGAAGATTAAATTAAAAGGCACACAATGAAGAATAGACCTAAATAGAAATTGAATAAAGATTATTGAAGAAAAGCAAGAAAAAAAAAAAACAAAACAAGAGAATGACAATAAGATAAAGAAAGAGGCAAAAAGGGTCAGAGAGAAAGAGGCTGACACAGAAGACAGGTAAAGGAGGTCCAACACTGGGTAAACTGGACTCCATGAGAAGAAAATACAATAGCAGAATGAAAATAATATTTAAACCTGTAATATGAAAAAACCTTTTGGAAATAAAGACTTGAATTTATATTTTAACCATGGGGTATCAGGGAAAGTCAATTCATAATAATCAACTCTGAAACATAACTTATTACACATTTAAAAGAATAATTATGGCCCCCAGGAAAAAGAAACTAACAGTTCATAAATCAAGAGATTGAAAATGGCATCAGACTTTTCAAAAAATGGCATGTAAAGTAAGGAAACAGTGAAGCAGCATTTTAAAGAAACTTAAGGAAAGAAAATATGAATAGTAGATCTTATACCGAGACAAGCTGTGCTTCAAGTATTAAGACTAGAGAAAAAAGTTTTGAATGTGCAAAAACTCAGAGAATACAGTACACATGTGCTCTTCCTGAGAAATCTACTAGAATGAGTTTCATTCAACAAAGAGATGACTTGGAAAACTTATTCCAAAGGAATGATGATGAACATTTCACACTATTTAATACTAGAACTAAAAATGAATAAAGTGATGTCATGAATAGAAGAATGATGTGTAAGCATTAAGGATCTAACAAAGCAGAAATAATACAACTTAAAATGTAGAATAAGATCATTCACTAACTGATGGATAAATAACAGGGTGAATCACAGTATGTCTTAGCAGTTGGAAAATCAGAGAGTAAAAGATTAAGAGAAATGGATCTAAGACTTTATTAAAAATAATAATACACAGAAAGCCACTAGGAAAACATACATACAAACTTTCCTAAGTACCAAACATAAAAACAAAAAAGCCAAGAACAATAACAACAAAATCCCCCAAACAAACAAATATACCTACATACAAATTAAAAAAAAAAAAAACACAAAAAGACACACTAAATAGGCTATGAAACACAGTAAATATTATCTGTTGCATACAGTAATTTTAACATATAATATTGTGACATAATTGGAACCAAACACATCAGTCATATCAATAAATGTGAGTAGGCTTAAATCATTTTTTACTATTTTTCAAATTGGCTCATAAATGAAAACTCAACTATCTGCAATATATGAGAGACACTCCTAAAACACAGTGATTTATAAAGCATAAAAATACAAGAGCGAATAGGGATAGATCACACAAATTGAAGTGATAAGAAATCAGGGATTGTGACGGTATCAGATAAAGTATACTCAACTTCAAAAGCATTATGTAAGACAAAGAAGAAGATTTACAATGCTAAAGACCCCATTATATCAATGAAATATGATAATCATGAAGATCTATGTACCAAATAATAGAGTACCACTTATATAAAACAAAAACCATAGCAGATGTAAGGAGAAATAAAAACACATTAAGAATTAGATACTTTGGGCCAGCCCGGTGGCGCACTGTNCTTGGGAGTGCAGCGGCGCTCCCGCCGAGGGTTCGGATCCCATGTGGAGACCGGTTCCCGCTCACTGGCTGAGTGCAGTGCGGGTGCAACACCGAGGGTTGCGATCCCGTTACCGGTCAGTAAAAAAAAAGACAAAAAGGAAAAAAAAAAAGAATTAGATACTTTAACTTTCAGTGCAAGACAGAGCAATTGGACAAATAAATAAATAAAACAAAATAAAAAGTGAAAGAAAAGAAAGATATAAAAGATTTAACCAATGAATAGTATATTCAATATTTTAGATATTTCAATAACAGACAATATACCTTCTTCTAAAGTGCACATACAATATTCACAAAAATTGATTACATATCAAAGCACAAATAAAATATCAATCCATTTCATAAAGTTAGAATTTTAGAAACAACACTCAATGCGATAAAACTAGAAATTAAAGACAAAGTCAAAATTAAAGAAAGCTCTTTCACCTGGAAGTTAAAAACATCTACTAAACAACTCTGGAGTAAATTAATAAAAATTCTGAAAAATGTAATAAAATAAAATGTGATGAAAATACTACATATGAAAGACAACAAACACATTT